ACTACAAGTTTTATTATTTACTACTACTATTTATTTATTATTATTTACTACAAGCTTATTACTGTGGCTATTATAACAAATGTAAAAGTTATTACCTGTTGCTCCATTTCACCTGATCCATCATTTGTGGCAGAACCCACTATTTCTTTTCTCATCAACTACCAAAAAAATAAAATTAAAGATTAAAATAATTCAAACATATATGCTGTAAAACTAGTATCTGTTTGATTGCCCCGCCCCACTAAACTTCAGTCACTTTTGGTTTTCTATTACTATATTCCTTAAATATAACTGTTTAAAGATCATTAGTAGCCAGAATAAGTGCTTTATTATGTTAAAAAATAGGAGTGATAAATTTATGGGTTAAATCCTGGCCACAGTGAATTTAATGGCAAAAACTCCAATCTGCTTCAAAGGTGTTGGGGGAAGGAAAGGAAGAGAGAGGGAGCAGTATCACTATTTCAACCAGTGAGTTTGATCTTAGTAGTATTTGTTCACTCGAGGTCAACTGACCCAAGTAATATCAATGAATGTAAAGACCAGAATACTGAGAACTGAAAGACCAGTTTAATTCTTACTAATCCAAATTAGAATACTGGAACTCCATTTGCTACCAGCTAATAAATTTTACCTCTGCTCTTTTGGATTAAGAACAAAGCAGAGCAATCACCTACTAATTCCACCATTAGTCATAACAAGAGTTCAGTTATCCAAAATATGTTACAAAGCAAGATGTAATTCTCTTGATCATATCCACACATAAAAGACTTTGCAGAACTGACGGTTTCTTATTACTGACTCTAGAGGTGTCCTGTGTTATATTGCTGAATTTATTTTCAGTGCAAGAGGCATACTGAAACAGATTCATGTGTTATAAAACTATTAAAGTACAGGGGCTAAAAGTGCAATCAAATGAAAAGAAAACTCAGTACATCTCTCCTGAGTCCTGATCCCCCAGATAGGTCAGGGCAACATTCGACCTCCCTGACTTCCATCTGGTTTTAAGAACCCTCTAAGGACCAATGCACAAACAAGTAAGGATTCTTTAACAGACTATGCTTTGGTCCAGGGGAACAGATAGCATAGAGTCATAAGAGGAATGTCCATGTGAATGTTTCAAGCACCTTTCCAATTTATTTTTACAACCTGAACAGAGGAAAGCAGTAAAGATGGAAGAATGGCAGGACACAAGGTTCTTGTCCTAAATAGTTATATTCAAGCTCTCCTATTTTAGGCTACGTGAATTACCACTCACCTCTTGAATAGCAGCCATAACAACATGCTGGACTGATTCTTCTAGGGTCATTATGTTTTGTATGTGTTCTGTAACAATGAAAAGATATTTACAGTAATTTATAGCAACATTTATCCTAACTGAGTTACCATCTGCCCTTTCCATATTTGAGACACCAACAAAGACAAAGAATGTATTTCCTATGGTTTAGCATTGCAGGAAAGTTGTTGCTCTTTTTAATTACAATCCAATGAGGACATTTTTACTTTACATACAGGTTTATAAAATTAAGCCCAATGGACAGGACCACACTGAAGTTTGAAAAGAACTGGTGCTTGGAGACAAATTTTACCACGTACGTAGATCACATATCTTCAAAGGCAGCTTTTATGTCTATAAAGAATTTGGTTCTTTGAAGTAACAAATCCAAGAACACCCTAAAAAGGCTTCAGCGTATTAAATTAAAACAAAATTAAAAACAAATGACCACATCTATGAATTGTAAATAAACTTTACGATGCAACCCTTTCCATGAAGGCAGCAAAATTACAGGTATCAACATATTGCCACTCATGCATAGACAGCTTATGTTGCACACAACAGAAGGCCTGAAAGCTATAACTGAAATTTATAACACTCCACTGCCACCACCACACAGTTAAACTATTATCCAAGACAGAAGGGTTGTGTTTAAACTCAAGAGCCAGAAAGCTGCTTTAGGCTTTTTCACTGCATTGTGCATATTAAAAATTGTATAATACATAGTCAATTAGAACAATTTAATATTTTGCCTACTATAAATGTTCCCAAATTTACAGTGTGCACAATGGAGTGAAATGTTTTTAACGCATTTCCATTTTTTAAAGCTTTTCTAACCTATAGCCTTAACAAACACTACTGCTTGGCTTATTTTATATTTCTAGAAAGTCTGCTGTGAAAAACTTGCAATTGGGGTGGTGCATGAAGTATGGTAGATGAACTGGCATTGCTAATATTAATTCTCAATGCAGGTCTATGCTGCCTTGCCTCCAAAATACTCATTGATTCAAAATGTATGAATTACCTGAGAACATCTTATGTAGCTGTTTGGTCTATATCCAGAGGAGGTTCGGTACCTATCCTATCAAGAATGTCTACCCAATACTTAGGATTTTCTTGTGCCATTCTGAGTGCTTGTAAAGGCATTATTTCTTGCACAAAAAGCATTTTTCTCAACCCTCCACAGGTAAGTTGGAGAGAATTTCAAATATTTGTTTTAATTTAAATTGTATCCTTAAGCCAGGACACAAATTTTGTAATCAATTTGCAATTTTAATAATATAATAAATCAATTTAAAGGCGTCTCTCCACTCCACCAAAAATTGAAGCCATTTGAGCCATTTGAACTGTACAGAGATAGATTTTTTGTTTTTATGAATTCTAGCTAAGAAGCATACACATGAACATGATATAACACATCAGCAGGAGGGTACTTAAACTTGTAGTTTAACTCAGGGCAGGAACTACTTTTAATGTGCATCTATTCCAGTTTATGCAGTATTTATCTTACTGCATAAACTGGAACAGATGCACATCAAATACTAAAGGAAATAGTCACCATTTCCTTTAGTAAGATATTCCTAAAGATAATGCTCGTTTCTAAATATATCTTTGAAAATAGTAGGTACCTTGTTTCCTTTCACAGTTGATTGCACAACCTAAAATAAGTTGAAGCAACCTCCCCAACTCTGTAAGATTTGAATGTTCAGATATCTGATTTAAATCAGGAAGAAATTCTTCGGAGATCTGCTGACCCAAGAACTGCAGAATTAAAAAAAAAGATAAGGTTAAATCTGGATCCTTGATTTTATACAACATTAATATTTAGTATCAAAGGAAACAGTGAACCATTGAGTAAAAAGGTTTTTGGGAAATGCTCTGGACAAAACCTCAAGACAGGAAAGAAAACAAAACTGATAATCTTAGAACTGATGAGGGAAAAGACCTTGGTCATAGTTTCATAGATTTAGGGTCGGAAGGGACCTAGTAGATCTTCTAGCCCAACCCCCCGCCAGGGCGGGAGAACAACAAAACCCAAAACAAAAACGGGACTCAAATGAGTCCAGCCAGGTAGGCATCCAGCCTCTTCTTAAAGACCCCCAGGGTAGGGGCCAGCACCACTTCCCTTGGAAGTTGGTTCCAGCTCCTAGCCGCCCTAACTGTGAAGTA